CTTCGATGAAACCGACGTTAACGCTTTTTGACGAAATAAAATTTATTTTGTTCAAACAAAAGTTTTTTTTTTTAATTATAAGGAGCAATATAATTTGACCTTAATGACAAAAAAAACGATTTGGAAAAATTTATTTTAATTTATTTGTTTTTAATTTTTTTTTTAATTCATTATTAATTTTTTCGTAAATACAAATTAAAAATATTTACTTTTCAACAAAATTTTTATAATATAATTTTTAAAAGTTTAACAATATGCAATTATCTATATTTAAACAAGCCATTTATGGATTTTAAGCACACATCTACACACACAATAATTGCAATCAAATGTCATAAATATTTACAATTATATAAACAATATTTACAGTAAATATATGTGAGCACAGGGGTTTTTTTGTGCATCTACATGCATATAATACTTTCCAAAGCGGCATGCAATACCTTTTCGTGCGCGTTGCCAACGGTTATTTAATTATTTTGACAAGCGCCTCTGTTGTGTTGGGCATTTAAAAGGATTGATTGCACTGCAATGATGAGTAAATAAACAAATAACATGGAATTGAGTTCACAACTCAATTTCGACATGATAGTGAAATGTACTGTTGTTGTATTTGTTGTTGTTGCGCTCTTTCATTTTTTCTGCTGTAAACGCAAGCGATTTTGACTTTATAGAAGTGCATGGCTATTATGGCCAAAGACATTAATAATGTGAAAGTGCATAAAAAATGTACAAAAGCAATAAACAAACGCATGCACACACACACACACACACACTCATACGTAGAGGGATGCGTGTAAATACAGATTTACATATGCGCACAGCTGCGCTTGCACAATTTATGCGCGCTGCATATGTATATATGTGTGTGAGTATGCATGGTTGTTGTTGTTGTTGGTGAATGCACTATTTTCCTGCGGTTGGCCACACATATACATACAAACAAACGTCACACCGATTTGCTGCAATCAAAGCATTTGCACATTTGCAAGTGCCACTTCACGCTGCAGCAAATATGCACACCTACACATCTATGCATGTGTCATATATACGTGCCTGTGTGATATAGTCGTATATACGTGTGTTTGTGCGTATGTAAACAACGCACCGAAAGGCAGGCAATTCATCATTTTTCCGCTTCAATCAAATATAAAAAAGTACACCAAAAAACATATGGTTCAGCGTACGTGGTTGTTGTTTTTATTGTTGTTGCAGCTTTCAGCTACTCACTCAAAAATAGCTACAATTTTATTGTAAACAACAACTGCCAGCGTATCTACGTTTTATTACTTTCATAATTTTATTTCATTTATTTATATTTTAGTTGGTTGCTTAATGGGTCTTGTTGTTTTTTTTTCACCTACGCAAACGATAAAGAGAGTCCCATGTTGTTGTTCTTTTAATTATAACTATTGGATTTTTAATGCAAATCAAATTGTATATTTTGGAATACTTTAAAATAGATTGATTTTTACAAGGAAGCTACATACATATACACAGATATGTGTGTAAGCGCAGACAACGCGCCAGTAGTGACGCCACACTAAATAAATTACAAGCTAATTGCCGCCAGCTGCTCCAGCGGCTTTGTCTCACCTGTTGTTGTCTGAGCGAAATAATAATTCGCCTGAAAATAAAATTGGCGTATGATATATATGCATGTATGTATGTGTGCTTGTATCTATGTACGTATGTTTGTGATTTTGCAGTTTTCACAACCTTCACCTCTATAATTAGCAAATTTCGCACGAAATTTTATTTTGATTTATCCACATATTTACATATGTTGGTATTTGCATGTGTATCTACTACATATGTAGTAGTATGTATGTCTGCGCGTCCCATAGTTTGTGATTACAATGAAATTTGGAAATTCGCTAGAAATATCTCTGTGTTTTTTCGGAGGTCTTGCTGGAGATTAGCTTATTACCTTAGCAAACCCAAAAGCTCTCAAAATGAATCACCGATTATTAAGGTACATTTTTTATTTATCAAAAAGGAAGGCTCTTTAAAAAGGTTTACGAAAAAATTCGTTTTTTTTACTTGGAAATTAATGCAGCCTCTTAAATACTCTATACTCTACTGACTTAATATATTCTTTAAAACTAACCTAATTATAGGTGATATAACTTCAACACATTTAATCCTTTTTGTTGGTCTTATTCGAAGACATACATATTTGTAATTCTCAGCCAAGTTATCAAAAAATTAATTTAAAGAAGCAACGAAAAATGAGCTCCTAAATTTCAAACAGACTTTATCTTCTTAGTATCCTTAATTAAATTGTTGGTTTATCTGCCTTCTCCGTTGCTTGGCATGTTGTGTATGTTATACCTGGTGTTAGTGTGCCCTTCTAACACTTTAAAGATGAGGTAGAGGTATCCAGGCACTTTCTCCTCCATAGTCCAGCCTTTGCAAGACTGAGGCGCAACTATCTCGGTCATACCTTGAGCGAACCAGCAGACATGACCGAAATTGACAGTGGCCCCCTCAAAAAATGTATGATGCAATGCGGGCTTTTATGAAAAATGTTTAGCTGTACGGACCGGCGTTATATTATGTCCCATTTTTAGTATCGACCATTTTATCTTATTAACCCTATTACCTGGGTGATCACCATTAATTCTCATTACATTTAAATTCTCATCAGACTTATAGAATGAACCCAAAACTCCAAAAACGATGAAAATAGTCAAAAAATTTTCATGAGAAAGTTGTTTGTTTAAAATGTTGTATAATTTTGTCAAGAGTTTTGAGTTTATTCTATAAGCCATATATATATATATATATTTATGTATGTAATATCTTATGAGCACCCTAAATGTAGGTAAAATTATAATTTTTTAACTTGCATTAAAAAAAATTGTTAGTATATCGAATATTAAACCGCATATTCGATACTCTAGGTTGTATGGAGTTAAATCATTGACTTTTAGTATTAATTGCGCGCTGAAATGTAGGCAACATTAAGCATGTAAATACTTTTTTAATTCACTTTCATCCGAAATGTATGCTTTGTTTAATTAGAAACTGTGGTAATCTAGTTCTTGAAACTATGACAAATAATCACGACAAGATAATTGGTGTAATTTTAGGCATTTGATTCTTTAGGTATCTTTTTGGACATTAAAATAATTTTTTTTATTTTAAAATTTTTTAATAACGTTTATGGGCGCTAAATAGCGAAAATTTTCGGGTATATCAACAGCAAGAATTTTGTTTGAGACTGCAAAGCAATGCCTTATTTATTTATTATTACATTAAAATTTTATATTTTTTCTTTGTAGAAAAGTTCACAAAACTGCAACAGCTGTTGCCTTTCGCTTTTCTAGGTATGAACGATTATTTTTCTAATAGTTTGCGTAAGTAATACATAAGTACGTATGTGTATGTGTGTGTTAATATTTTTTCGCATACCGTCAGTTGTAGCGGTTCTACAACGTGTGAAATTACCTAGGAATACATACAAACAAATACATTGTATGTACATACGTCAGAGTTGCTGTTGGCGCCTTAGAGCGTGCAACAACAGGCTTGCCGCGAGTGAGTTCTGCCTCTATCAAATGTGTTCTAGTGATTTCGTTGAAATTCAAAAATTTTTCACAATTAATTCTTCAATTTAGATAATTTGAAGGCGTTCGCAAATATTAATTTGTATATATGTATGTATGTACATATGTGTTAGTGTGTGTATTCCACCAGCAAACATTTTTCGTCTAGTCGCTCTTTCAACAGGTTTGTTCTATTTAATTACTTTTTGTGGCAGCAACGCGTTCTTTTCGCAAGCGCCTACTAACGTCATCAATTGCGTGTTGTTGTTGTTGTTTTTCGGCATTATCTCTATGCATGCCCCTTTTTATAAAGAAATTGGCGAAAAAAATCCGAATCACTACTCAAAATA